GGAACCTCCATCGTAGTAACAATATATCAAGGGGTAAGTGTTTAGGACAAGAGCTGAGGGGTTAGGTAGCACAAGTTCACAAGTATTTCGTCAGAGTTTTAGGTTATTTTTTGTGTGTTTAACCCTCGGATAAAGCCTCTATTTATAGGGAATGGGTAGGATTAGGGTTTAGAACATTCTGTCGCAGCAGGTGTCGCACGCAACAGGATTAGTTGCGTGCGGCATCCCAATTGGGTTGCGCTGCTATCTGAATTTCTTGCGCGCGGCTTTATAGTAAGATTCGATTCTATAGTTTCGTAAAATTCCGAATCTTCCGTGAGCACATCTCTAGAGGTTGTACTAAGTGTCGCGCGCAATTGAAATAGTTGTGCGCGCCTGCCCAACGCGACTGATTGATATGCACGCGGATTTTCCTGCGGCAACATTAAAATTTAACCTAGGCGCTCCTTAATTCGTCATTATTGGGTTTTAAGCACGGGCTTAACCCTAATATTAATCGAATTTAGTTAATTGGACCTTGTGTAGCTTTGTTTTTTTAGTTTGGGCTAGTTTTTGTGTTTTGTGGCTTAACTAGTTATCCATAAGCATTCTCCACTTCAATCTAACACGAAGATGGTTTTACACTACTACAAAAAAGGCTTTAGAGAATGTCTAGAATTGGCAATATAGAGCGCCTTAGAGGCGTACTTCAAGTGGGGTGCCTTTTAAGGTATATACGACGCCTATTTGAGGCATTCTATATTCAATACAATACATAACGCCTTACCAAGATAGGCGCTTCCAATACTATGAACAAAGAAAGAAAAATACAAGGAAAAGAGAATACATATCTTATGTTAGGCGTTCTATAATTATATAAAAAGAGAACGCCTATCTCTGATAACAGTCCTCTGTTCTTCGATTTTTTCAAAAAAAAAAAATAGAAAATATTGAAATGATTTTCCGGTATATAATTCATCGTATTAACCATTCCAATTCCGTAAAAGTAGGCTACAAAATGATACGTATTCTAGATTTATAATTTATATTGTACTTCGTATAATACATCTCCAATACTCTTTCAAAAAATAATACAGTATTACTCTGTAATACATCTATTGAACTTCTCCGTACAATATATATGAATAAAAAGTACAAAGCAAATTAATTATCAGCTATTCTAGCTTCCATTGATAAATTTTCATCAAATTGAAAACAAGATATGAAAAAAAGTTAGGATCAAAAAAATTATAATTACTCATAACATAATCAAAACTAAAAGAACCCTGCTATATATGTAAGAATAAATTACAACAATAGTTAAACTTGGATTTTACAACATTTAGTCGCTGAACATCAAAAAATTGCACAAACATCAGTGTTGGAAATTCATGAATTTTCATTAATTTGCAAGAATAAACAAAAAAATAATCAAGATAAAAATCAATTTAATTTTTTTTTCGAAAAAGAAGTATGCAAAACCTTATTATTTTCACCAAAAACTCAGAAATCGAACCAAGGCCAAAACCGAACTAATATCCAATTACAATTTTCCTAAAATTAAATTGATTAAAACAAATTAAACATCGATTGATTAAATACAAAAAAAAAAAAAAAATTGATCCAAAATAAGACAAAAATTTAACAGAAATTTTCCATAATTTCAACAATATTAGCAAATCAATAATTTCAAGATAAAACTTCAGAAGATTAAATATTCATACCAGAACAGAGATGATAAATTAAATTAAACATTAGAAAGTCAATGAAGAAATGGTCGAACGAAAGACATGCTGCTGCCATTAACGAAATCGGAGCAGAAGGTTGCCTCGAATCCCCGCTGGCGATTACATCGTTTGGTGAAGTCGTGAAGAACGGTGGTGACATTTTAAAGCTCAAAAAAGAGGGGAAAGAGGAAGACCGTTTGGAGAAACTTTGGTTCAATCTTAAAAAGGAATTGAAATGGGTGAAATTGGATTTATGGGAGAGACTACTTGTTAATGATCTATTTCGTTTGTAGGAGTTGAAGTTTGAGTTTCACTTTGTGGGAGGGTAGAGAGTGTTTGTGGGAGGAGATTGATTGAGATCGTGGGATCTTTTTTTTTTTTTTTTTTTTTTTTTTTTTTTTTTTTTTTTATTTTTTTTTTGACAAAGGATACAAACAACTACATATTAATATTAAAGCGAATAGAGTGAGCCACCGCTTCTCCTGCTATAAGATGAGCCCTGTAGACACGCTGACGATCCACCTTATTAATACTACACACCTGGAAGCGTGAGCCAAGCTGTAAAATTCTCCGAATAAGCCAAATATAACCGACACTGCCCTGGCCCAGTCCGCGAAGCAAGGAGACCAGATTATAAGAATCCGTCCAAACAGTAATAGAGTGAAACCCGCAATCAAAAGCCCATTGAAGCCCATACAAGCATGCCAAAGCCTCCGCATGTAAAGGAGAGGAACAAACACCGTAGTTACTCCCACCGGAGGTTCGCTCATCCAGTGGGTCATCGTTATCCATACACCAGCCCATTCCAGCTCGTTGAGAATCTTTGAACCAAGAACCATCTATTTGAAGAGAAAGTAAAGAACTCCCATGGGGCTCCAGGCCAAGCTGAGCAATGTGAAAGCCAGGCGGAGAAGAGGCACAATCGTCTGCCACCTGGCCAACAGAATTACTATCTGAGTAGAGAAAGATAGAATGATTCTCCATAACCTCCCTAAACAAAGAGTCAAAAGGTCGCGACGCCGATGAATTCCTAAAGATTTTGGAGTTTCGACATAACCACAAGGTCCAAAGCGTACCGACAAAGGTACCCAAGCGAGCACTTGATGGTCCATCTTGACTGATAAAAAGTCGGATATAATCTTGGATCCAATCTGAGAGAGAAAGGTCTCCATTGAATTCTGAGCGAATGCCAAGGCATCCACCCCTCTACACCGAACGCGCATTGCAGCACATTCTGAAAAGGTGTTGTAAATCCTCTGGTTCCGTACTACACAGGTCACAAAAAACGTCTTGAATCGGAACCCCTCTGTGATGAAGTTCCACCTTGACCGCAAGAGCGCGGTGCAACAGCTTCCATAAAAATAGCTTCCATTTAGAATGCAACTGGAGAGACTAGAGAATCTTCCAGAAAGAGTTCGTATGAAGAGGAATGGCAGCCGGGGAAAGCTGTTGTTGAAGCATAGCATAACCAGTTTTAACCGAGTATTTTCCAGATGGAGTACCCGCCCAGTAACAAAAATTAGCTTGAGTTGTATCAGGGGCCTCCATTGCCAGGATAGTAGAAGCATCCGCAGGGATAAACGAGTTGACAACTTTGGTAGTATCCCACCCGTTTTCCTGATGATTGATGAAAAAGCTGACAGTATGAGGGGCTAAAGATGGCTCCGAAATTCCGGGTTTGAACTCCGGGATGCACCCATTGACCCACTTAGCTGAACCAGCTAGAGTGGACTGGCCGTTTCCAATTTTCCAGCTGCAACCTTGTTTGAGAAGGGTGTTCGCCCTTAGTAACCCTCGAAGACCATAGGAATGTCGTCCAAAGTAACGGGGCCGAGAACTAGAGCTGTTGGATAGAAAGGTTGTACGAGCCCTAAAAACTTTAGAGACTTGCAGCTGCGGGTTGGAAAAGAGTCTCCAAACCTGTTTCATTAACAACGCCTTATTTAAGGAGGACAAACAGCGAATGCCCAAGCCACCCATCCCACGAGGAAGGTGCATGGTATCCTTATTAACCCAATGCAAGCCTTTGTTTTCCGAGTGCGCCCAGAAGAAACGCATAAGCAAGGAGTCAATTTTCCCCGTAACCGAGATTGGCAGGTCATAGCATGCTAGCACATGGGAAGCCATTGCAACGAGGATTGAGTTAATGATAATTAAATTCTGCGATTGTGACATGCGAGTAGCATTTAAACAATGGATTATTCCAATAATTTTGTCGATGATGAATTGGAAGTGATCTTTCTTCTTCCCAACGAAGTCGATAGGAGCCCCCAGGTGATGATCGAACACCTGAACATGTTTCATTTGGAATATATACTTGAACCCGATCTGAGCAGGCGAGCCAATGTTCGGGCTGAACTTGATCAAAGATTTTGACAGGTTTAGCTCTTCTCCCGAAATGTTGGTAAACCTTTGAATAATCCGCATGATATTCGTACAGGACACAGTTGACGGCCGAAAGAAGATAAGGGCATCATCCGCAAAGAATAGATGGGAAATTGTAGGACTTGTACGAGAGAGCTTGATTCCCTGAAAAAGCTTCAAGTCCTGGCCCAAATGCAGCATACTAGAGAAAATATCCATGCAGAATAGGAAAAGGTACGGAGAGAGAGGATCACCTTGGCGCAGGCCACGTTGTGGCTTAAAGGTGTCCGAGGTTGTACCGTTAACCAAGGATTTGTAAGTAACCGTGGCGAGGCATTGTTGGATCATCTGTAACCAGCGAGCCGGAAACCCATAGGCTTGTAAGACCTGCAGGAGAAAACTCCAGTGGATTCTATCATAAGCTTTGCTCACATCAATTTTAATTGCAGCAAGCCAATTGGTGCCTGTTTTTGAGCCATTGATTTTCTCCATCAGTTCATGGCTTAGAAGAATATTATCCGTCATTACACGGCCTTGGACAAAGGCATGTTGAGAATCCGAGATGAGAATAGGGAGATACTGGCGTAATCTTGCCACCAGACATTTCACATTTGTAAATTGTATTGCAAAGACTAATCGGCCTTAAATGGCCCATCTCTGTTGGGGTACCAATCTTAGGAATCATAACAAGGAGGGACTGATTCCACTCCTTCAAGAGATACCCTGATTGAAAGAAACTTTGAATGCCAAGGACTACTGAATCTCCCACGACATCCCAGTGAGACTTAAAGAACTCAACTGTGATTCCGTCTGGACCTGGAGACTTACTATTCCCTAAAGAGAACATGGCAAGACGAATCTCAGCAGCCGTGAAGGGACGCTCCAGATTAGCAATTTGGGAGGCATTGAAACGAGGAAGATCAAGCTCTCTCAGAACCGTATCAAAATATCCGGATCATAAGAAGGGATGGCATCAGATTTGAAAGTATTCTTGAGAGAATGCAGTACAACATTCTGAACCTTTGTTTGACCAAACTGGAGAACACCCTGTTCATCAAGAAGAGATGTAATATGATTCTTCTTCTGGCGACTTTTAAATTTAGAGAACAAAACCTTTGAGGGACAGACACCCTGAAGAATCCAATTCTTCTTACAACGTTGTCTCCAAAATTGAAGCTGTAGGAAGATACTCTCCTTCGAAGTAACAATATTAGACATATACTGAGCCGCATCTGGGACCGAGCGAATTGATTCCCCTTCAACTGAGAGTTCTTTTGAAAAATTCTTCCAATCCACACCCCAATACTTCTTGTTATTGAGACACCATCTCCGAATCAGAATCTTAACATTGGCTAACTTTGTCGAGAGGATAAACATTGGCGAGCCCAGAGTGTTCCTTTGCCATGTATCCCTAACAAAGTCATGTACCTGGGTGAAGTTGAGGCACCAATTGTCCAATTGATAAGGCCTATTTGACGCATGGTGAAAGGGAGAGTCATCAAACACAATAGCCGCATGGTCAGAAATAAATATCGGTTGATTAATCAAACGGCTGTCTGGATAGTTATGAAACCAATCTGAGGTCATATAAGAGCGATCCAGTCGTTGTAAAATGAGTTTATGAGCCTGTCGATTGTTTGTCCAGGTGTAGGGGGGACCTTTGAAAGGGGTTGAAATTAAGCTAGCTTTTAAACTAAAATCAATAAAGGATTCCCAACCCTTAATAACAGTTGAACCCCCCAACCTGTCATAGTTACGCTCTACTTGATTGATATCACCAATTATCAAACAATTAGGAGCAATGGCAAGTAAATCTAAAATCAAACCCCATGCTTGAGGTCTATCCTCTACCACAGGAGCACCGTAAACAAACATCACACACCTACTTATTTTAATAGGAATTTTAATATTACAAAGTACTACATTGGAGCAACAAAAAACACAAGAAACATCGTCCGATCCATACCCAAAAACCACTAAACCTCCGCTACTACCAACCGAGTCAACCCCAAAAACCGAGGAGGGATTAGAACTAGAAAGTAAGCTAGTTACTACCGAGACAGGAACTTTAGTTTCACTAAGAAACAAAAAATTTGGAACAAAGGAGTGAAGTAACCAAAAAACATAAGGGAGTTTGGGGGAGTTAACGTCATTAAGACCCCGACAATTCCATGATGTAACAATCATGAATCCCTTGGGAGTTGTGAAGGGCCAGCCGCCAAACCATCAGTAGCACGCAAAACAGAAGCAAAGGTAGCATTAGTAGCATTCAAACGTGGACTATTCCCTGCACCAACACAATGAACAGAATCATTAATTTTCTGCAATTTAAGAGAAGAAGAAACCCAGCTATCTATTAGCTTCCTCTTGTATTTAACATGACCAGAATGAGCCTTCCTTGCTTCCACATTCAAGAAAGTAGACGATAAAGAGCCATTAAAGCCCAAGTCAGCAGCCGTGTCAACATCAGAGAAGCATTTTTGATGACTGAAAAACCCAGTAGGCGAAGGAGATGTAAAGGAGAACCCCCCTTTCCTGTATAAGTTTAGGTTTCGAATCTTGCGCCTCTTCTGGAACCAGGTAGACCCTGAATACCCCAAGAAGGGAGGCCGATCACAAGACCTGCAGCTGACTGCCTGAGCATGGTGCTTCCGCTTCTTTGGTGAGCCACCATCTGCCCCAGGTGAAGACTGAGCATAATACACCCTGCCCTTGTTGTGCATCCCATTAGAACGACGCGGATTAGGAGCAGCAGGAGCAGGCACTGACTTATCCGACAATGACAGAGAAGCAAACAAGGTAGGCACAGCAATATCCATCGGAATGGAAGTATCAGGTAGCTGGGTTGAATGAGCCCCGACCTGCATATACTCAGAATTCACGGCAGCATAAGAATACCCAACGGTATTAGAAAAATTAGCAACATAATTAGTAGTATCAGAATTAATAACATTATCAAAGGGAGAATCAGAATTAAGAACAGCAGAAAAAGGAGCATCAGAAAATATAGCAGACACATTATTAGCTTGATGCAGGGGAGAAGCAGAGGTAAAATCCTTTGATAAGTAGCTCTCTTCTAGTGCAGCAGAAATTCAAAACCCTCCCCCTACTCTAGCTTGAGATTGATTTGCTGTAAAGGGAGCGTAAGGATCCCCTACAGGAATGGCTACCCTCTGATGTTGTTTCTGAGCCTGAATAGCATGATTTTCTTCAGCAAACCTCTGTGAGTGCGGATTATGATAGGATTCGGGAGTAGTAGGGTCCGTTTCTGAAGAATTGGTACTCGGATTACCATGATCTGAAGCAGATTTGTACACTAACTGCTCCGAGGAAGAAGAAAAGGTCCCATTAAGATGATGCGACATATACCCATTCTCATAAATCCCATTAATTGGAATGAACTCCGGCTCAATATTATCATTATTATCGCCATTAGGAGCAACATCATTCCCTTGACCGTCCTGGTTATCATCATCCCCTGCCCCCGAAGAGTTAGAGTCTGAATCATCAGAGTTATCGGGCTCTGCACTCGCATCTGAATCTGGATTCTCGTCCCCTTCAGCATTATCATCCGGAGGTTCCTGCTCATCATCATTCTCACCAGAATTCCCATCATTGTTATCCGAATTATCATTATCACCATCCATAGTTGTTGTATCGTTCCCCGAGCTACTATCCTCGTACTCGAAATCTTGTGCTAAAACAAGAAGATTAACCCTAGTATTTCGGGTTGAGAAAACCTCCTGAGTACCCTCAATCATATTGGTATACAACGGTCTATTGTTTGGATTAAAAAGCACCGTATACCCTTGAGCCTCGAACTCCTCCAATCGAGCATGAACCCTTCTAGCAGCCACATAGTCCGAGAAATGACAGAACTCTTTATCATGACCCACAACTCCACATTTTTTACAGAACAAAAAAACCCCTTCATATCTAAAATAAACCCAAAGAGGGTCGAATTCACCGGGAACAAAACACCCTGGAATTAAAGGCTTAGACAAATCAACCAACAATTGTCCCCTAAATTCCGGCTCCTCAGGCAATCCATCCCCATCATAATCAAGGGTTTCAACAACTCCAACCAGTTTAAGCGTTTCAAAAGCCCATTCCAGGTCTAGGAGGCCAAAGGGAAGGCCATACACACGAACCCAAAGTCTGGTAATGTCAAAATTCACATTGGCAGGAATTGTAAACCTATTACACCTACCAACGTTGCAAATACGGCCATCCAAAACGAAAGAGTGTTGCTCAAGTAAAGCTTCTACGTCCGCCACATGTGAACATGCAAAAACATAATAACAACCAGTGCGATGAACGATAATGTTACCTCGTGTGAGCCACTGTGTATCGACCATCTGTTGAACGATCGCTCTACATGGAGGGGAGGGCCCAAAGAATCGGCATACCACCGCTTTGTTCCATTCGATGTTTATTAAGTAATTCCCCAGTGGCTGATTTAAATATACCCCCGATTGGTAGACCGTCCAATAATTATTATGCGCCATAATGAAGAAGACAACAAAGGCAGGTTTAAAGAGAAGGAGAGTAAATGCTATTGAAAGAACAGTGAATGAGTAAAACTGAGGAAGGTAAGAAATAGAGGAGTTTAAGGAAAATCCTTAAAAAATCTTGTAAAAACCTAATGCCACTAATCCCTCTCAAGCCAAGTACACTTACACGTGTTAGACAAGGAAGGATGATAAGTGGTTAAAGCTTATGAAGTGGCCTGAAGAACACAAACGTTGGCAGCAAGCACAACAAACTAGAAGTTGAGATTTTAAAAAAACACAAAAAAAACCTGATTGGCTGACAACAAAGAGGATCGTGGCTACAAATTTAATAAAAAAAACGTAGCCTAGGGGATCCTAAAAGTGAAAGAAAGGAAGAAATTAATGTAGAAAAACAAGAACACTCAAGAACAGACTTCTACCCTAGAAACCCTAGGAAATTGAGAGAAAAGAAGAGCTGCTTGGTTAAATTGAGAGAAAGAACGAGAGGGATTAATCAGATCGTGGGATCTCAAGGGAGGGAAATGGAGGGGTGAGATTAGAGGTAATAACTGAAGAAGAGGCGCATAAAGAGAAGAAAGAGGTTTATACTAGATTTTTTTTAAAAAAATTTAAATTAATATAAAATCCTAAAATTAGATAGAACGTTTCTCTAATAGAGGCATTCTGTTTAACTCTCCTTACAACAGTGACCATACCTAGGCGTTCTATATTATCAAATTAGATTTTGCATAAATTATTTTTATTTATTTGATTAAAACAAATAAAACTGTTATTAAATGGAGGCGTTCTATATATTTTAGTTTATACAACTGTCGTCGCACAAATGCGTTCCATATACTTCTATAGAACGCCTATCCAACTTGACAGTTCTGTATTATGCGTTACTTTTTTCTCTTTTTGTTGTAGTGTTATTTATCGTCATTACACTTCTTGTCGGGACATGAAGCCAAAAGTAGGTGACTACAGTTAGCCCCCACTTTGACCGAGTCTATAATAGACGATGATAAAAGTTGTCAAGTAAATAAATCCGAGACTCATTCTGCGAAGTGCTCAAAGAATAGATAATCTTTTAGAAACGTTAAGGATGCAAAAACGATCCTTGGTTCGCTAAGTGTTTGAAACAAGTAGCTATTAAGGCTAGGAAAAGTTTATTCCTAGTATTAACACCCTAAAGAATTTAGATTGATCCTTTGCAATTATAGAACGGTTTTACAAGTAAAGGTGTTCTGGGTGATGTCAAGTCATGAGAAGAGATCGGTTTTAAAAAAGAATAAAAGGGTTTGAATTCCTCTCAATCGTGTCATCGTTGGTCTAAAGTCCCTCGATATGTCATTGAAACTTTAGCCTGACTTTAACAAAGTAAAAAGATAAAAAAAAAAAGGTGTTTTCGGTATTCGAGCCGAAATGGTCTGGTATTCGAGCCGGATGTCCGCAAGATAAAACTATTTGTCTCAGGACAGGAGGCATATATCCAAAACCAGTGAGAGGGAAGAAACTCAACAACTCTCTCAGCAGTTTTGTCCAAAAGATGAGTACACGTGTCTCAGGAATGGGGGCATGTGACTACATAGGCGCGACATCGTCTCGTCGCTTCTTTATACAGAGGATGGATGGACACCCTAACTGTCCGGTAAGCTAGTAAGCTCTCCAACTACCGTATTTGCTTCCAATCAAGAAGTGTCTGTTCCTAATGGTTCGGCGCGCCTGTCGACTCGTGAGCTAACGCCTAAAGTAATCCTCTACCTTTTAATTCCGAGAGGTAGATCTCGCAAAGCTTGGGCTGAAGTGAAATTTTACATAACACCTACGCTGTACAATTTTGCGTTGTACAATACGCCTTTTGTATTTTTGCGCTGCATGACAACGCCTTCCTTTTTGCTTCGGACGTGAAAAAAGAAGAAAAGTCGGACATTTGTAAAGTCAGTACAGTAAAATGACAAACCTGTCTATGGGTGCTTTTAAGTAAAGCACCAACACGGAACGTCTTAAGACACTCTTACAAAAAACGTTCAAAACGTATGCTTAAGGAAGGCACAAAGCATGGTGTGCATGCAAGAATGATGCAAAAAACTAACAAAGAAGAAAACAAACTAAAAAAGGCAAAGCAATTTAAAATATTTTGATAATTTGTGCGCCATTACGTCTTATAACGAGCAAAAACCGTTGAAATATGATCAAACGGATCAAAATCTGGATTCCGGTCATTTTATTGAACAATATCTGCCCGCAATGCAGTGGGTCGTGTTGGCCAGGCGCATGCGTCGTTCTGAGTTGCGGTGGTCTGTCACGCGCAACAGATTAAGTTTCGCGCGACATTTATAGCTGCAAAAAGAAATCAGTGAGCGCGATTTTCATTTCGCACTATCTTTCTTCTTCCTTCGCCATTTTCGCTCCTTTCTCTCTCTAGGAAGCTCAGATTTTCTTGTTTTTCGAAGCTAAAGGAAGTAGATCTCGTCCCTCATTCATAATTTCCATAATCCAATGTAAGTCTTTTGTTAAATTTCGTTTGATTTTGGCTTAGTTGGGACGATTTTCTAATCGTTAAACCCTAAATTTCGAATTTGGGGGGTTTTTTATTTGGTCCATTATTCTTGAAATTGTTTTTTTCATGTTGTTATACTATGTTTTAAGGAGTTTTTTGCAACAAATTTCATGAAAAATGGTTATGTATCG